ACAAATTAAAGGAATGGTTTTAGACTTCAAATCTTAAAATGACACGTTTTTACTGCCTAAAGTGCAAGAAGGAAACTGAGACGGCTAGTGAAATACAAGATATGACTACAAATGGGCGTTACCGGCTGCATGGTGACTGCACAATTTGTGGTATGCATAAGAATACTTTTACTGGAATAGACTGGGTGATCAAGAAGAAGACTAAGGAGAAAAAGAAAGAAACTGCTGCTAATAGACAGCAGACTGCTTACAATCGGCAATGCAAAAAACTTGGACAGAAAATCTTAGATTCTGATGACGCGTGTAAACAGTGTATTGATAAATGCCTTAATGAGGCAAAAAAGAGGAAGACGGATTAGTACTACCTTCTAAAAGTATTCTTTATCATCTGAATCATCTTGGTATACCCATTGTTCAATTACTTATTTTTTCTGATGGGGGCGGGACGGGGTTGGTCTATAGACCTTCTAGGGGTTTACCTGTTAATCTACCTGGTTTGCTATCTCATTAGCTTATACAGATGATCAGACGGAATCCTGTACATGTGGAAGATGTTCTGGATGTGTAGGATCTGGGGGGGTAAAATCAAAACTTTTTTCTGGGGGTATTCCTCTCCTGATTTTTTTAAAATTTCCTTCACATCCTCCACATCCTCCACACTCTTCTGATTCCCTCTTATTTTCCTCTCTTTTCCCTTATTTTATCTTTTTTTGTTATATATTTTTGTGGAGGATCTATGTGGAGGATTGTGGAGGATATATGGGGGATTCCTGAGCCCCGTAGGGGCCATATAGGTACTGCGACGGGTCGTAGACCCGGAGGTGAGTGGTGCTTGCACCTCCCACATCCAGCCCGACGACGTACAAATCTTTATAATTTTTTTTTTAATTTTATTAATGAACGGTTACTAATAACTGTTCTTTTCTTTTTTTATAGGTTCGGGTGGACTTCCAAAGAACGGAAAAAGGAGAACCTTTAAGATTCGTAAGTAATATACTTACGAATCTTTTTTTTTAATATTATGGAACAGTTACTAACTGTTCCTTTGATTTTTTTTTTATAGGTTCGGGTGGATTTCCGTCTTTCCAAGGAACGGAAAAAACTAAAGATTCAGTATGAATCTTTATTTTTTTATTTTTGTTTATTATTACGAACGGTTTCTAACCATTTTTTTCTTTTTTTTTTAGGTCAGTGTCTTCCGAAGAATGGAAAAAACCAAGATTCGTAAATACGAATCTTGGTTTTATTTTTATTTTTTTTTATAATATTAACGAACGGTTACTGATAACTGTTCTTATTTTATTTTTTTAGCTCAGTAGGCTTCTGAAGAATAACGGAAAACTAAGATTCGTAAGTAAGTATGAATCTTGGTTCTTTTTTTTATTTTTTATTTTTATTTTTTATTACTACGAACGGTTTACTAATAACTGTTCTTTTCTTTTTGTAGGTTTTGGAATCTTTAGAAAAGTGGAACCAAGATTCGTAAGTACGAATCTTGGTTTATTTTTTATTTTTTTTAATATTATTATTAACGGTTATTAATAACTGCTCTTTTTTTTTCTTTTTATAGGTTTGGTGTCTCTAGTGGATTCCGATAAACAGAAAAAACCAAAGATTCGTAAGTAGAATCTTGGGTTTTTTTGCTTTTTTTTAATATTATGGAATAGTTCTAACCGTTCTTTTCTTTTTTTTATAGTTTTGGTGGGTTTCCAAAAGATCAAGATTCATAAGTATATACGAATACATGAATTATGTGATTGTGGAATTGTAGATTAGCAATACTTATTTGTAATATGCATTTATAAATAAAATTGTGATTTTATTGCGAATATCAAATAAAATGAGTTGTGGCTGAATATTAGTAAATAAATTTAGTACAAATTTGCAATATAAATTAAGTAATATTCAGAAAACTATTCACCAAAATTTGCTATCTGAAATTGTTCTGAATGTTAACTGAATTTTGGCCAAAATTTCAAGCTGAACTTTAGGCGAGTGGCAGCGAATTGCAGCTAAAAAATCTGCTAAAGTTTGACCAGCATTAGACCATAAATCAGCTTAAAATCGGCTGGCTGAATTTTGGCCGATTTGGACTATTTTGACCAGTGGCAAAAATTATCCAATGGATTTAAAGAACTTATAAGTCAATACCTGAAATTTGGGCAAAACGAGTTTAAAATATGATGAGAAATGATAATACTTCTGACGAGAAGAAGTATTTAGGTATAATTTCTCATGATATAAGAATTCCTAATGATTGATATGTAGACTATTTTGGTCAAAGAATTCTAATTAGAGATGTACCTGTACATCATCAAAATGATCCTAGATTGCGTGGTTTGTATTATTATTATATTTTACATGACTGGGCAGAAAAGAAGAAAGACCAGTTATATGTTCGACTAACTACTAGGCCTACATTAAATTTAAAATCTTGTATTAATTCTTCTGTACCCTTATCAAGAATAGAAAATTTTGATCTTGCGCAAGAAGATTTTGAAAATAATAACAAGACAGAAATTACATATAAATTTCCTAAAATTGGTAGAAAATATACAAATAAATGTGAAAATAAAGAAGTTAATGTTAATGTAAATAATCAAAGCAGAAAAAAATCCAAAAATCATAGAGCTATTTTAGAAAATACAATTCAAAAGTGGATAGAGTAACAAGAAATTAAGTAAATAGAATTTGACAAAAGAAGAAAAGAAAAGAAAAAAGAGATCAGAGGGAAAATTCAGAATTGTTTACAATGAAACATCAATCAGATATAATGTTATTTGATTTATTAAATAATATTATAGAATGTTTGAATTCTTCTCAAGGAAATTCAAATAATCAATCAGAAAAAAATTTACAAGGTATTTATTATTAATTCCGATGGTAATATTAAGTTTATTTTTATGTTGCGTTCAAATTCAAATGTTTGTGTTATGTTCAAATCTGATTTTTGTGTCATATTTAAATTTTTGTCACATTTAAATTTTGATTTTTGTATCACGTATAAATTCTAATTTTTATTTTACAATCAAAATTTGATTTTTTATATTAAATTCAATTCTAATTTTAATTCAATTTATAGATAATTTACCTTAATTTTCTTCAAATTTTATGTATTTGCAAAGAAATTTATAAACATCTTTACTATCTTTTGCACAATTGAATGATTCTGAATATAAAAGTGATAAAATGATAATTCACTTAATAATAAATAATAATGTAATTCTTTTAATTGTTTTATGAAATAAATTGGAAAATATATATTTGTAACAATTTTTTTAATTCATTGATTTATTACTTAATTTGTGATCCGCCTCAGAACCAGTGAAAGGTACTAATATATATCGGGGAACTATTATAGAGATTAATATTTCTTAAATAATTTTTTCGTGCAAATTTATCAAATTTTTTTTAAATAAAAATGTTTGAAATGTTTAAAAAAATATAATTAAATTTTAATATAATCTTTGTAACTGTTGTATTTTTGGGCAAATTCAACATTTATGCATTATTAAGGGTTAGGGCTGGAATCTGACATTGCTAAAGAAAAAATTTTTTAATTAATGGTGCTATGACAAAAATATTGTTATATTTAAATTTTTGTAATTTTAAGCCATCATTTGATTAAAATCTTCAAATAATTTTAGCTCAATTCCAATTTCAAATTTAGTTATAATTTGTTATATTTGTAAATGTGTGATTTCTCACCATCTAGTGATCTTATAAGGATGAATTATAGCTCTTTGGAATCCTCTCATTATGATGAATTGAATGGTGGTAATTTCATATCTCTATCATCGATATATAACTGGTTAATAATATGTTAATATTAAATAATTGCACATAATTGTTGTGTTATATATTGATTATAGAGATATAGAATTACCACCATTCAATTCATCATTATGAGAGGATTCCAAATAGCTATAATTCATCCTTATAGGATCACTAGATGGTGAGAAATCACATATTTACAAATATAACAAATTATAACTAAATTTGAAATTGGAATTGAACTAAAATTATTTGAAGATTTTTAATCCAAAAGTAATGTAAATGATGGCTTAAATTACAAAAATTTAAATATAATAATATTTTTGTCATAGCACCATTAATTAAAAAATTTTTCTTTAGCAACGTCAGATTCCAGCTCCTAACCCTTAAAAATGCATAGATGTTGAATTTGCCCAAAGATACAACAGTTACAAAGACTATATTAAAATTTAATTATATTTTTTAAACATTTCAAACATTTTTATTTAAAAAAATTTTGATAAATTTACACAAAAAAATTATTTAAGAAATAATTGATTTACTATAGTAGTTCCCCGATATGTATTAGTACCTTTCACTAGTTCTGAGACGGATCACGAATTAATTATTATTTGTATTTAAATATCTTCTCTGATGATTATTCTATAATAAATCACATATTGCATTTCTTATAGTATTACCTTCTAATGTTTTATTAACATTTGTTTCACTATTTACATCAGTTTCTGTATCATAATATTGTTCTTCTGGTAGTAAAAAATTACGTCTTTATTTACAAATATTATGAAGTATATAACAAGTAGTTATAATATCATGTGGTATTATTTCAAATGAAATTTCTAAACTGTAAAGAAAACATCTTCACCTACTCTTTAATAACCCAAAAGCTTGTTCTACTTTGATTCTTATTTGTAAATGTTTACAATTAAAATATGTTTGTTTTTGAATTAATTCTCTACCTACTGTATATCTTTATAAGAAACTATTAACCAATCATTAAGATGCATCAATTGTGGTAATTTTATATTTTTAGAATTAATGGATAAAAAGATATTTCAATTTGAAAAATTTAGCTACTATTTGTTATAATTTGTCAATCATTTACTTTTAAAAAATCATTAATTAAATTGATAAAAATATTGGTTTATGTAATAAAATATTTTAAGATATTTAAAAGTATCTTTAATTAAAAAATAAAATTGCAGGCAAATTTAGCTGCAAAACAGTTTAAGGGATAAGTATTGTATTGAAAAAAATGGTATTTAAATAAATAAAATAGATTTTAAAAAACAAAAATATATAAAGTTTTTATAATATATAAAGAAAATTTATGTTAATATAAATATAAAAAATTATTATTTATTATAGTGGCTATCACCTATAAATCGCTAATATTGTGTGACTTCAAATTTTTATAAATTGTAAATTAAATAGTAAAAAGAAAAAATTAAACTGATAAAATGATAGAGCAATATGTACTGAACATTTCTATCAGATTATTTTATAGAATTTAATAAGAATTTTAATTAATATTATACGTTAAAGTTGGATAATTTTAATAAGTAGCAATAATAAAAACATAAAATTTTGGACTAGTTTTCATGTAATTTTTATGGATTTTACAAAATTCCATGGAAATCTACAAAAATTCCATGTAATATGGCAAAAAAAATTATGCCGCTCATGTGGCAATTATTATATTTTAACAAAGTACTTTAAAAAATAAGTTACACAATATAAATAAATAAAATTTCAAATTTCGAACTATTGTTATTTATAGGTGACAGCCACCATAGTAATTATGATACCCTTAAAAAATATGATATGATTACTGACTAATATATTTAAAGAATAAATCATTCCTTATCTGATAATATTTACATAAGGCTATTTGGTTAGAAAGAAAAATATATAGACAGATTGTCTATTGAATTTATTTTTTAGTTTCACACCATTCCATATTTGATTATATTTACATATGGCAAAGTTTATTTGAAAGAAAAATATATAGATTTCTTTTAGTAGTTTTAACGAATTATAGATATTTTAGTCGTTTCATCATTCTATATTTGATAATATGTACATACAGCTTTTTTAATAAAGAAAGAATCATACATGCACGTTATTTATAACGTGTAGTGATTAAAAATTTTTTTAGTTAAAATTATACAGGAGTATTTAAGAGATGATATAGATATACAAGAATTAAAAAGTAAAATTAATGGGCTTGGTATGTGGGAAATTGGATGCTCATATAATTTTACATTTTTAATAAAGAATCAAGTCAGTTGTCAGTTAATAGAATTTAATAGAATTTTTAAGGTGCTTTAAAATAACTGAAGAAAAATTGTTATATAAAGTGCTAAAGCAAATAACTGGGAGAGTTTTATTAGAATTCAAAGTGCTTATTTGGGAACCAAGGAACGAGTTACAAATAAAGGAAGAAATGCGGTGCGGTATTAGCGGTAAAGATAAAAAAGCTAAGTCACATAGTAAACACAGGACCCCGAGCAATATATATATAGGTAACAAGAAAGGTTAAAATTTTTATAATAGCTCTATGCAAGGTTTTTATTAAGATAAATAAGCAAACTCAACATGTGACTTCACAAATTTCCCAAAAATAAGCAATCTAACCATATGACTTTATAATATTATATTTTACAAAAATTATTTGATCAAATTTTCTCGCATTTATGATTTACAATTTCACTTTTTTCAATAGTAATATCATCTTAGCTAAAATATCCGTCTTAGTAATTCCTATTAACTTTTGCATATTAGCATAATACTATCGCTTATATAGTTAAATGTTATACAATGCATTATTAAATAATACTAAATTTACTCAATAAATAAGCAATTATAATATATGACTTTTCAAAAATTCTGTGAAAATAAGCAAATGAAAAATATGACATTGGCAAAAAATATCATTAATTTTACGCAAATCGAACCTCTAACTGTGGCGGCTAAAATAGCATGTGACTAAGCAAACGATATTGTTACCTATACATATATTGCTCGGGGTCCTGTAAACACACTGAAGTGGATGTCAAAGATGTTGACTGTAATATGTTACACAGGTTGAAAAGTGAAAAATCAGGCACCAATCGGTCACCAATCAGGTAGCTGATTGGTGACTGATTGGTGACTGATTGGCATTTTCGCTAAATACCATCACCAATCAGGCAGTTTGCTAACTTTTGATCCAGTAATCAGAAAAGGATGAAATATAGCTCATTGGAATCGTCTCAACAAGACGAATCTAATGGTAGTAAAATCGCATTTTTAGGATTAATACTTTATGAGAAATTAAGTAAAATATAAAAATAAAATGTATCATTTATATTTTATTTAATTTTTTATTAACTATTAATCTTAAAGATGCGATTTTACTACCATTAGATTCATCTTGTTGAGACGATTCCAATGAGCTATATTTCATTCTTTCTGATCACTGGATCAAAAGTTAGCAAACTGCCTGATTGGTGACGGTATTTGGCGAAAATGCCAATCAGTCACCAATCGGTCACCAATCAGATACCTGATTGGTGACCGATTAGTGACTGATTGATACCTGATTTTTCACTTTTTGACCTGTATTAGAAAGTAATTGGAATAAATGGAATGATTTGGCATTCCATCGTGGTGGTTATTGGGCAAATTTTTAGGTAGATCATAACAGTCACCTTTGAATTTGAGGTCGCATTATGGTTTTTAACAATGATGTGATCGTTTAGGTGACAGGTCGACTTGTTCTTTATGAAAAGTAGTCTTGTTTTATAATGCTCAATTCTTATATGTATTTGTTTATCTTATATTTGTAAGTTTATATATGTAAGTAAACGTGATTATAATAAGACATAATTGCATCTATAATAAAGTTCTAAAAAAAAAATATATATATATATATTTAAAGAATAAATTATTCACAAGATACTTGATCATTTTACTTATTTTAAATAAATTTTTAGTTAAATTCTTAAAATGCATATTAATAATAATAAAAACCTGTATATAGAATTAATATAAAAATTTTTGATTTTACTAAACCTATATACTGTATGTATAGCTCAGAATCCTGTTATACTTACTGGATAGCAAATTTTATATTTATTTATCCATTCCTAGGAAATTTTGCAGTAAAAATTAACTATTGATTATACTATAATAAATGGATTTGAAAATTTGAGTAATTCAAAAAGATTTGCATTTTCTAAATGAGAAACCTTTTCTTAATTTATTTGTAATTTCAATATTATTTTTCAAGTGTAATAGTAATAGTAAAGCTTTTTAAAATTTACATTTTTTTAAAATCTTTTAAAATAAAAAAAAAACCATTTAGAATTTAATAATAAAATATACTATATTTATACTCATGATATACTATAAATACTTTACTATTGTGTATAAACCTGGCTAATTGTATAAGTTAATATTAATCTAATATCTGAACTCAGATTTATTACTAATTCAGAAAAAAGCAGTGATGCAACTAATGATATTTCCTTCATATTCGTATACGTCTAAGAACAAATCAGATAATTTTTTGCGATTGATTTATGAAAATTTTTTCCATATTTATTAGAACGCTAAAATAAGAATGAAAAATCTGAAAAAGACAAACAAAAAAGGGCAAGCAATAAGAAAGGATAAGCAACAAATGGAAGAGAATGTATTTTATAGTAAAACGTGTGTTACCAGAAGTATCAAATTTGCTGCCAAACAACCAAGTAAAGAAGACCTTCAACTATTGGATAGTGAGAAATTTTCTTATTTTTTAGCAACGATATTAGCAAGAGACAGAGAAGTGGTAGCAGTAAACATGACTATTACACCAATCAAGTGCAAAGTTTACATCGCTAAGAATGGTCCTTGGTCTCAAAAAGATAAGGATTTTATTAAAAAGATTGAAAAAACGTTGATAAAAATATCTAAAGACGCTCCTATATCTAATCAGATTTATGAAAGAGATGATATAAAGGAATTATATTTGGCTACAATGAAGCACTGTTCTCATAAGCTTGGCCATAGATTGAACAAACTTAGGACTGATATAACAAATGGGATGAGCGAAATGTACATCAAGTCTTTCTTGGAATATGCTCAAAATGAAGGTATTTCTATAGATGATATATTTGATGATAAGAAACGACCATCTATGTCTAGTTTTTGTAATGAGTATTATCAAGTCACAAAAAATGATCCTAATGCTCCGAAAGTATTTTTAAGACATATCAAAAAGGTGGGATCCTATATCTCGCATTTAACGGAAATCATAGATTGCGCATGTAAAGGCAAGTACAAGGATCTATTTTCTTCTATTGAAACGAATTTATTGGATTTTTGTGAAGAAATGCAACCGATATCTTCATGGAAGACTATTGTCATGAAATATATTTCTGATGAAAAGTATGAAGATTTCAAGAACACATGTTTGGAAATTCGTGAAATAAAGTCAAGACTGGAAGATATATATGGTGGCATAAATAAGCAATTAGAAAGTAATAATTTTAATCACACATATTTGCACGCGGAGTTGAACGTATTGACCAAATTAATGGATATTGATAAAGGAAGTCAAGGAAGAAAATTTATAGCAGTCTCCAAGAAATGCTGTTATTTATGTAGATTATATATCAAATTTATACAATCAAAAGGACATAAATTTGTCATTTTTGGATCACATAATAAGTTATACCATAAATGGCAACTTCCAATTCCTTTCAGGAAAGATTTCATTCCACATGCTTCATTTTATCTCGATGAAATCATAGAAAATGAAATAAATCACCTTACTAGTTTACGTGCTACATCTGATAGTGATCCGGAAAGTGAGAATCGAGATTATAAAAAGATTAGATTTGTTCGTAAGATGGAACTTAGTGAAGAGGATCTCTAAATGTTAAATATAGGTAAAAAGTATAGCTGCGTCAATAAAATTATAAAAATTAGCATAATAACGTATTCATTTAAAAGTTATATAGGTAAAAAGTATAGCTGTGTCAATAAAATTATAAAAATTAGCATAATAACGTCATTTAAAAGTTATATAGGTAAAAAGTATAGTAACGTATTCATTTAAAAGTTATCTAGGTAAAAAGTATAGCTGTGTCAATAAAATTATAAATTTAGCATAATAACGTATTCATTTAAAAGTTTCGTTGTTTGAATGACCAGTAAAATTTCATACAAGAATGTGAATTATTCAATGTTATGTTGCGAATGTAAAAGACTTGCTTTATTAATACAGAAATAAAAAATGAAGAAATTTCTATGTAATGTCTATACAATTATTTTTCAAACAAGACAAGACTATTTTATTTATCTTCTATTTTTACCCGCTTCAATGATTTCTGCGATTTGATCTGGCGATCAAACACCCACATGATTTGCCCGAACAAGTTCTGGAGTTTTTCAAGCATAAGACTTTTATTGAACACACTCTCGTTATTCGTTAATGGGAAAAGTAAATGGTGTTCGAGAACTCAATAATACGTCGACATTCCCATTATCATTATCATTGCATTCACCAGTAGTGACTAACTTAATTATGACCCAATCGACCCCTGTCGAAACAATACCATACATTTTCTTTTTATCACGCTGAGACGAAGCTTGTAACTGAATTGCATTCTGACCAACACCTTGGTTAATACTTAATATTCTCTCTTTTAGCCTGGGTAACAACGATAATCGTATCTCCAAGTATCTCCAATCTTGATAACCCAATCCACTGGCCCTTTTCCATGGCTTGCGGATAACTCATATTCTGGACATACCTTCACTTCACCACCATAGCAAGAAGCAACGCCATGAAGAATGGATGAAATAAATTCGCGTCTTGTTGCTTCGTTTGCACTAGTGATGTGAATACAGGTCTTATACTTTGTAGCTATATCTTCCAAAACATGTCCAGAAACGTCCACGATGAAAATGGTTGTTGTGCTGTATAAACGCCAAGGTTGCTCTCGTTAGAATCTGTTGCGTAAAACTCACGAAAAAAAACATAATACTTACATGTGTCCACCATAATTGGGAGGTCCGTCTTGAATCCTTGAGTCCAGATTACGCTTACGCCATACGTTGCTGTGCAGTGAACTTCTTTCGTCTCAACAGGACGCTGTACGATTATATGTATGTGTTTGTCGGCTGGCTGGGAGGAAAAGTGTTTGCTAATTTTCGAAAGTGGAGGAAGTTCCACACCATCAAGTTCGTCCTTGATATTAACGTTAATTTTTGTGTTGATAATTTATCGTTTCCTTCTTCGAGGGAAATGTCGACCTTCCCATATCTTGAGATCTTTTGCTTTAACATGATCCCAATTTTTTCCTTGATAGCTTTTATAGGGATATTTGGCTCGGATAAAAAATAGTGTGTTACGTTCCGGAGTGAGATAAAAATTACTTCTGGGAAAGGGCTAATCATTTTCTCATGTACATCGATAAAATAATAATACTTTATTTATGAAATAAAAAAAACGTTGCCGGAGCAACTGATACACAAAATTGCAAATATTATAAAATATTATTTCGCATTACTAGTCATAATAATTATATCCTCTTTACAAGAACATGGTGAATGTCCATGGTGATATTCTCATTGAAAAATTCCGAAATAAAGCTCCCTCCTTCTCACATAGCAACGTATTTTACAGGCACAGAACGAAATGCGCCAAGATAAAATGGAACATTTCTGAATGGGTGTGGTAACTGTTGCTGAATCTGAGCATGAGGATTTCTGACCATATTTCCAGGGAAATTGTAATCGTTAGATTAACATTATTATGTAGGATTCCAATGAAGCAACCAGTGGGGATGGTCATATTTCATTTTCCTGGCCCATAATGAGAAAAACTTGTCCCATGTATACATAACTTCTGGTATATACATACCTTGTTTTTGCGCGAGAAAGTTGGCTGAACTTCTATATACTCCTACACACTTTATATCTTGCCGGGAAAAAAGATAAGGAGGTATGAGACGTAATTAGTATTGTTGTCTGATGCTAAGAGCTCTATGGCCGAAGGCGCTAAAGGAAAAGCACATGCAAATGGATTCTTCATACCTTTTCACATGTAGATCTACCCTGCAAGAGATATAGTTGGCTTTACGCCTGGCGATCTCAAAATTGCGAGTCCCTCAGCCTTTCATAACATATGCTTTTGCCGTCATTATTTGCTTATAGGGTAGGTCCTGTGTTGCGTATAGACATTCTTTCACATTTTTCTCATGTTTGGGAAAAAAATAGAGTTTGTATATTTTCTTTTCGTTTTATGCGAAAATTAATATGTCACACAAAACCTGACTGATGATCCAAGTTTTTTTTTAAAATTTTTATAATAAATAATAGATATAATTATAAGATTAAATAATTTAATTAGATATTAAATTACTATTTTTTTTTTATTAATATACTTAAAAAGAGCAGTAATCTTTATTTAAAGAGGAATTTACATAAAATTACATCTTATTCAAAATAAATTTAACCTTATCCACCAGCAGATATACTTTAGAAGTTTAGATAATTACATAATTTTTTTAATATTATATTAAATTTACTTATTCATAAATTTTTCTCATCATAATAAAATTATCAATTTTTAAGCTTATATAATATTTGCAAAATTTAATATTTTTCAATTTAACTTGATAAATTAATATATTTTATCAAAATTATCAGTTAAACTTAGAAATTGCATTATTTAAAGTTTAAAGTTTTAAGACCTTTGATAGAATTCCAAGAAATAATGCATAAAATAAGCTAAAATAATCATGAAAATCTTTCCTTTTTTAGATAAATTTTGATAACATTGGTAAAAAATATATTACTTTATTTAGTAATTGGCTGATATTATTATAATTTTGACTCTAAAAAAATGTGTAAAGCTAATAGTAAATTTTGCCAATTTCCTATAACCTATTTATATATTGTTCAGAGTAAAGCTGCCGCTTGAAACTATTTCCGAATTCCAAAACTAATTTCGGGCCCAGAAATTTTTCTGAAACTTTTCTGAAATGCTGAAATTATTCCAAAATTCTGATTGGTCTGTTACCAGCATTATGGCACGTAATTTATAATTCCGGCCGGAATTATATATTTTGTGTAATATATATTTCCATATAAGGAAATTATTGTTACACAAAGTGAGTATATACTTAAAATGAAGCTAATCATGTCATGAAGAATGCTATGAAGTCATGCTACAAGTTATGGCCAGGCATCCCAATCCACCCTTTTTTGAGGCAGGTCAGCCAGTTTTGGTGGCTATTTTAGTTTGTTTATTATGACACAGTCAAATTAATTGACAGTTACAGTTAGCTACACCTCACACGTAACCTGTAGTGCTCCTAACAGATCAGATCAGACCAGATTTTACTTAGATTCAATCTGATCTGAAATTAATTAAATCTGATCTGATCTGAATCAGATCGGTTTAAATTTAATCTGAATCAGATCAGATTTAATCATATTCAAATCTGATCTGATCTGATTCAAATCTGATTAAATCTGATCTGATCTGAATCTGATCTGAATCTAAATAAATATGTTATAAATTCTAAAGTTATAATTTGTAATTCCAGTCAAATTCAAAATTCTGAAATTTCAGCCAAAATGCTAAAATTAAATATTTAATTCGGCCAGAATTATGCACTTAACTCTGGCAGGAATTATTGAATTTCCCAAAAAGGAAATTTAGGTTACACAAAATGCCAAATTTGTTCCTATAAAAATTGATTTTTGTGGAATGGCTATCGCCAAAAAAAGGAAATGATCGACATATCCATTTTGACTGGAGTTTAAAATTATGAATTAATTCCAGCCGGCATTATGAATTCAGCTGAAATTATTAGTAAAATCAAATCTGAGATCTGAATCAGATTTTAAATAAGCCTAATCTAAATCTGATCTGATCTGATCTGATCTGAAATTAATCTGATTTGTTCAGATCAAATTTTTTTGATCTGAATCTGAACTGCAGATTAAATTTATCTGATCTGATCTGAAATCTGATCAGATCAGATTTTTTTCAGAGCACTAGTAACCTGGTATAGATTTCAAACATGCAGGCCATCCAAGTGTTTTATGTAGCATAAATGTGTCATTACTGCATTTATTTAAATCTAACATAATACTTCCAATTGTATTCTTAGTACATCTAGTGTTTTAGCAACTCACTTGTATAATTTAAGCTTCAGATGGCTTTCTTCTGTAAAATTAATCTTAGAAGAATAATTGTGCACACTTAATATTATTAATTTTTTATTGTTAATTAGTGGTCCACCTCTTTATTTTGAGGAAGAAGGAAGCATCATATAATAAAAAAATTTTAGCAGCAAATTTGGACAATTACAGTCAACTCCATCTATAGTCACTCCCGTTATAGTTACATTCTACTATATAGTCACACCAGTTGAATGTTCAAAACACTTTATTATTAAAAACTATCCTATATAGTTACAATCTATCTATAGTCACTATCACACCTATCCTCAAAAATCTTATATTAAAAAGAACCGTTTATAATCACAGTTATATAAAGAATATATTAAATAACTTGGCATCTAATAATCGTACAAAGATGTATCATACCTTGTTAGAATCGTCTCACTGAGATGAATCAAATGGTGGTAGTTTTATCCTTTTGTGACCACTGGCTGATGAGTTATTCAACAAAATGTTAAGTATCGGCATTATTATATTTCTTGATTTACGTTTACTGCGCCATTTAACATTTTGCTAAATTTCTTGGTACCTAGTAATTGTAAAAGGACGATTAATAGCTCGTTGGAATCGCCTCATCGAGACGAATCGAATGATGATCAGCTCATCTCTCTATGATCAATATTGACGGAGTTACTACTTAAAAACTATTTAATATTTTTTAATTTCGAAAATTGATCTAGTGATTGGATTTCAATGTATTTTATACCATTAGATTCGTCGCATTAAGACGAATCGAATGGTAGTAAGATTGTCTCTCTAGGATCAATATTGGCAGACTTATTACACAAAAACCATTAATATTTTTTAATTTCGGAAATTAATCTAGTGATTGGAATTCGATGTATTTTATACCATTAGAACCGTCTCATCAAGATGAATCGAATGGCGGTAAGATTATCTCTCTAAGATTAATGTTGGCGGAGTTACGATACAATAAAGTTTTGAGTATAATTTTGGCTAAAATTATGTTAATTTTTGGCCGGAATTATGATATACTAATATAAGAAATTTTTTATATAGTCACATCTCTTTATAATCACCAAATATGGACTGTCCCAAATGTGTGACTATAAAGAGAGTTGACTGTATATCCTAATAAATATATAAATCTCAGTTTGTTATATTTAGTTATACAAAATTTTTCCTTAGTGTAAATCTTATCCTTTTTTTGTGAGATACATATCTTTTTACACCAGATCATAAAAAAAAAGAAAAAGCAAATAATATATATTTATGTATTTGCATTTTTTTAATTTATATCTAGAAATATATTAAATAATTTATAAATAAAAAGAAAACAGTCAATTTTGAAAATATTAATATTAAAATTAGTCAATGTGAGTCATTTATTAATATCTAAATAACTTTATTATAAAAAAAAATTAATAATATATATATAATAATATATATATTCAGATTTCAGACTGATAAATAAAAACTAATAAAATTTATCTTCTTATTGGAAGTTAATTATGTATGTATTTGTATTTAAAACTATACTGTGTAAAACTATATATACTATATAGTGCATAGTGCTCCAAAAAAAATCTGATCCGATCAGATTCAGATTGGATCAGATCAAACACGAGAAAATCTGATCCGATCTGAACAGATTTTGGATCAGATTTTTTTTTTAAATTTTTTAAAAAAAAAAAATTCATTTTTTTAAAAACCCTTTCCTGGACAAACGGACGCCGGACGACCAAGATTTAAAAGAACGAACTAGGTAAGTTCATTTCTTTTTTTTTGTTATTTTTACTTGAGGGAACTTAATTAACGGTTCCCTTATTTTTTATTAGGAAGCCTGGATGAATGAAGCCTAACGACCAGGATTTAAAAAAAAAGAACGAACCTATGGTGAGTTCGTTCTTTTTTTTAAGGTTTTTTTTTTATTTTTTATTTAAGAGAACGTAATTAATGTTCCCTTTCTTTTTTTTAGGAAATCTGGACGTGGACGAAGTCATTAACGACCAGGATTTAAAAAAAAAACGAACTATGATAAGTTCGTTTCTTTTTTTAAGTTTTTTTTTTATTTTTACTTAAGGGAACGTAATTAACGTTCCCTTTCTTTTTTTTTAGGAAACCTGGACGTGGACGAAGCCATTAATGACCAGAATTTAAACTGTCTCTTATACAAATCTGATCCGGAAAGTGAGAATCGAGATTATAAAAAGATTAGATTTGTTCGTAAGATGGAACTTAGTGAAGAGGATCTCTAAATGTTAAATATAGGTAAAAAGTATAGCTGCGTCAATAAAATTATAAAAATTAGCATAATAACGTATTCATTTAAAAGTTATATAGGTAAAAAGTATAGCTGTGTCAATAAAATTATAAAAATTAGCATAATAACGTCATTTAAAAGTTATATAGGTAAAAAGTATAGTAACGTATTCATTTAAAAGTTATCTAGGTAAAAAGTATAGCTGTGTCAATAAAATTATAAATTTAGCATAATAACGTATTCATTTAAAAGTTTCGTTGTTTGAATGACCAGTAAAATTTCATACAAGAATGTGAATTATTCAATGTTATGTTGCGAATGTAAAAGACTTGCTTTATTAATACAGAAATAAAAAATGAAGAAATTTCTATGTAATGTCTATACAATTATTTTTCAAACAAGACAAGACTATTTTATTTATCTTCTATTTTTACCCGCTTCAATGATTTCTGCGATTTGATCTGGCGATCAAACACCCACATGATTTGCCCGAACAAGTTCTGGAGTTTTTCAAGCATAAGACTTTTATTGAACACACTCTCGTTATTCGTTAATGGGAAAAGTAAATGGTGTTCGAGAACTCAATAATACGTCGACATTCCCATTATCATTATCATTGCATTCACCAGTAGTGACTAACTTAATTATGACCCAATCGACCCCTGTCGAAACAATACCATACATTTTCTTTTTATCACGCTGAGACGAAGCTTGTAACTGAATTGCATTCTGACCAACACCTTGGTTAATACTTAATATTCTCTCTTTTAGCCTGGGTAACAACGATAATCGTATCTCCAAGTATCTCCAATCTTGATAACCCAATCCACTGGCCCTTTTCCATGGCTTGCGGATAACTCATATTCTGGACATACCTTCACTTCACCACCATAGCAAGAAGCAACGCCATGAAGAATGGATGAAATAAATTCGCGTCTTGTTGCTTCGTTTGCACTAGTGATGTGAATACAGGTCTTATACTTTGTAGCTATATCTTCCAAAACATGTCCAGAAACGTCCACGATGAAAATGGTTGTTGTGCTGTATAAACGCCAAGGTTGCTCTCGTTAGAATCTGTTGCGTAAAACTCACGAAAAAAAACATAATACTTACATGTGTCCACCATAATTGGGAGGTCCGTCTTGAATCCTTGAGTCCAGATTACGCTTACGCCATACGTTGCTGTGCAGTGAACTTCTTTCGTCTCAACAGGACGCTGTACGATTATATGTATGTGTTTGTCGGCTGGCTGGGAGGAAAAGTGTTTGCTAATTTTCGAAAGTGGAGGAAGTTCCACACCATCAAGTTCGTCCTTGATATTAACGTTAATTTTTGTGTTGATAATTTATCGTTTCCTTCTTCGAGGGAAATGTCGACCTTCCCATATCTTGAGATCTTTTGCTTTAACATGATCCCAATTTTTTCCTTGATAGCTTTTATAGGGATATTTGGCTCGGATAAAAAATAGTGTGTTACGTTCCGGAGTGAGATAAAAATTACTTCTGGGAAAGGGCTAATCATTTTCTCATGTACATCGATAAAATAATAATACTTTATTTATGAAATAAAAAAAACGTTGCCGGAGCAACTGATACACAAAATTGCAAATATTATAAAATATTATTTCGCATTACTAGTCATAATAATTATATCCTCTTTACAAGAACATGGTGAATGTCCATGGTGATATTCTCATTGAAAAATTCCGAAATAAAGCTCCCTCCTTCTCACATAGCAACGTATTTTACAGGCACAGAACGAAATGCGCCAAGATAAAATGGAACATTTCTGAATGGGTGTGGTAACTGTTGCTGAATCTGAGCATGAGGATTTCTGACCATATTTCCAGGGAAATTGTAATCGTTAGATTAACATTATTATGTAGGATTCCAATGAAGCAACCAGTGGGGATGGTCATATTTCATTTTCCTGGCCCATAATGAGAAAAACTTGTCCCATGTATACATAACTTCTGGTATATACATACCTTGTTTTTGCGCGAGAAAGTTGGCTGAACTTCTATATACTCCTACACACTTTATATCTTGCCGGGAAAAAAGATAAGGAGGTATGAGACGTAATTAGTATTGTTGTCTGATGCTAAGAGCTCTATGGCCGAAGG